TAGGTTAGGAGGTTGGGTTACATAGCTGGGCCTTCTCCCAAAGAGGGTTCAGCTTTAAGGGCCTGTTCACATGAGTTTCAGGTCCGGATCTTTTTGACAGGTTTTTGACGCGTTTGCGTTTCCTGACCGTACAAAATGTGACATGCAGTATTTTTCTGTGGTAAGCTGAACGGACTGCGCACGTGAGAACTGTAGCCCATAAAACACACAGGGATACATTGGGATGCATTTTGAGTGCAGGAGCATACGGATCAGGTCGGCACACAAAACGGACGTCGTGTGAACAGGCACTAAATTAGGGGCCTGGTAGACTTTAGTCATACAAGTAGGGTACACTTGTACTCCATGAATTGTGTGACCTGCCATTGCGGACATCCTTCTGAAAATGTCAGTTACCTGGCTGCCTCTAGGTACAGCCCTATGAGTTACTGGCCCGGAACCTAGAATACCAGATCCATATACTTGTCCCAGAATGTAAACTGGGAAAGTTGTAAAATGTTTATCTTGAAACTATAGATGGGCTTCAGGTTTAATGTGAACCCAAAGTTAAAGTGACTCTGTTGCTTCCAAAAAACATAAATAGAAAAATGTCTGCTGTAGTAGAAGACTCTGAATACTCACCTCCATGGTGGTGGCCAGTCAGAGCTCCTCATCTACACACCTCTCACCAGAACTATACTCTCCTCCACTCCAATGATGTGATGTGCGCAAGCTCCTTTGCTGGTGTCCACATCTTCGCCCGGTCGTCTTCTGGGTTTGGTCTCTTTGGCCAGCCCAGGATGAGGTAACACCTGCACGTCGCGGAAGAGGAAAGCCAGCATTGCAATCATCGGCAAGCCCTCCCCTCAGCGGGGAGGGCTCGCGATGATCGCAAGTACAATCTGCCAGGGCAGGTCGTACGAAATTTTAATGACCTTACAACATCGCACAATGAAAGTCGTGTGATGGTTGTAAGGTGTATGGCCAGCTTAACAGTGACCTCCAGATACAGATGACAATGATCCTAAACACAAGGCCAAGTCGACCTGTCATTGGCTACAGCAGAATAAAGTGAAGGTTCTGGAGTGGCCATCTCAGTCTCCTGACCTCAATACCATTCAGCCACTCTGGGGAGATCTCAAACGTGCAGTTCATGCAAGACAGCCCAAGACTTTACAGGACCCGGAGGAAGAATGGGGAGCTTTACCATCTGAGAAGATAAAGAGCCTCATCCACACATACCACAAAAGACTTCAAGCTGTCATTGATGTTAAAGGGGGCAACACACCGTATTAAGAACTGGTATCCGGGTCATTTTGGGTAGTTTCTGTTGTCATTATGATTGGAAAAGAGTAAACACAGTTGATTTGATAATAAATGGCTTCAGCCAAACACTACCCATGAGTGACAGGTTTTCGTGTATCATTCATATTCTCTGAAAAATGGCCAGGAAATCATAAATTCTGCCAGGGTATGTAAACTTAGGAGCACAAGTGTATTATTTTACTGAAAGCTACACCACTCAACTCCACTTTATATGAAACTAAAAAAAAAAAAATCAAGACTTGGAAAACATTATTGTCCCACTAGATCAGCCAGATAACTAGCATTTTCAGAAGTTAAAAAAAATGCTCCATGTCTGTCCAGTTTGCATTAAAGGATAGGTGCTCTTTAGAACAAATTGCATTTATCCCTTTTGCTTCTTTACCCTGACCTAACCTAACACATCCTCTCCTCCTGCAGATCATACTTCCTTTAGTCCAATAGCCACGACCACTGCTATTTGTGTACATCCAGCACTGCAAGTCTCACTGTCCTGGTTCTGCCTGTACAAATTCAGCCCTCATGGACTTTTATGGGATTGTATCCTGAGGCTGGAGACGGCCCCATTTAAGTCGGTGGGGTTTAATGGGTAGGCACAGCCAGGGTGTAAGCAAACAGCAGCCGTGGCCGTCAGATCAGCGTAGTTATGCTTCTGGTGAGTGAGGAGAGTGGGTTAGGTTAGGTCCGGGTAAGAGGGGTAAGTGTGCTTTGTCTATAAAGTGTACTTATCCCTAAATGAATTGAGGAACATGTGCTTGTACAGACATTAGAAGATGCTCAAAAATGTTGTTAGCTGATCCTGATTCTTCCAATTTGTCTCCCTGAATTCAGTTAAATATATTATGAGATCTATAGAATTTGTTGCCTATGTTGGTATTTTATATGTGGGTGTTCTACACTGGTGGATATAAATCATTACTAATGCAGAGGAGAAACTGATTCCATCTTTGTCCCTGGCAATCAAACAAACTGAACTATAGACTGGAGAGTTCAATCTCTGCACCTCGCAGAGTGAAAGATACATTCCTCTGATTAATGGAAAACCAACCAGTTCATGGCACAGCATGATGACCATGGAATGTCTACAGGCAATGCTTTATCTCCGATGTTCAGCTCTGATGACCTTCTCCAGTATTTCCAATTACACACGTAAATTGCATTTATAACTCTTTTTATGTATCGCTGGTTATATTTGTTTCTGCATTTTCCTTTGTTATGACTTCTTAAAACGTTATGGACTTGTTTATTTGTTTCTGGTATTTATATAGCCCCAATAGTTTGCACAGCGATGTACATTCTCATCAGTCCCCGACCTCAAGGAGCTTACAATCTAAGGTCCCTATCTCACATAGATACAGGGCCAATTTAGACTGTAGCCAATTAAAGGAGAACTATGGGATAAAGGCTTTTCCCCATAGTTCTCCTTAGGGTAACGGAAGGACACAAACTAGCGTCCTCCCGTCACCCTAGACTCAGTATACTGGGAGCTGTAGCTCGCGGTATACTGAGACACCGCAGCTGAAGCGGATCCCGGCAATTATGCCGGGATCCGCCCAGCTGCGTGACTGACAGCTGGCTTTGCCTATCTAGAGGCAGAGCCAGCTGTACCCGCACCCTCCCCCGTCCGTTCCGCCAGTCAGAGCTGGCGGATCGGAGGGGGAAATCCAGCCCCTCCCCTGTCACGGCAGAGAGCCGTGACAGGATCGAGAGGTGAGCGAACGCGGTATGTGTTCGCTCACCTCCCGATCTACTGCGCCGACCTGTGACAGTCTCATTGTCACAGGTCGGCTAGAACTATTAACCTTCCAGCATATCTTTTCAGTGTGGGAGGAAACCGGAGTAGCCGGAGGAAACCCATGCAAACTCCATGCAGATAGTGGCCTGGTCGGATTCAAACCAGGACCTCCAGTACTGCAAGGCAGAAGCGCTAACCACTACACCACTGTTCTAAATGTTATCAAATTTGGACAAATCCCAGGGGCCAACAAGACTAAAACAAAAGTTGCACAAGGTCCCAACTGACTAGTTCCTAAATTCTACTGAGTAACTTTTCATCCTATGGATATCAGTTCTATCTTGCATACTTGTTGGTGTTTTGGAATCCATTAAAGCAGTCATATAGTCAAATATTAAAACTCAGCTCTGGGCAAAGTATGAACCCGGGGGTGGGCAACTCTGGCCCTCTAGCTGTGCTTTAACTATAAATGATAGCATGCCTCTGGGAGCCATGCCTGCAACTGTTAGTCTTGCAATGCCTTAGGAGACTTGTAGTTCCACGTTTCGCTCAACCCTGTCATTTCCAGGTTCAGGGATCAATAATCCATCCCACTTCTGAACCGTGAGAACAGCCAATAGGTATTGTCTCAGTCACACTATATTTTGTGTGCACCAAATGCCTTTGCAAACCCAGATGTTGCCTTGTGGTAACAGTAGTGGCGACATCATCACTGTGCTGTACATAGCTTGAGCAAAGCTGCAGAAGGGACCCAGAAGACTTCACCTACTATAGGCTGCTTGTAGAAAACTACAGGAGGTAGACGGAGACAAGACCAGTCACCCTGGACAAGACCAGTGACTGGTCTTTAGTACATGAAGCTCCTCCACAGAGGCAAAGTTTCACTGTGGATTACTGCAGAGCTCTGGAAGAAATACACAAAGCTCACTGAGATTTAAGTAAGAATGTACCTGTTGTATTCTGACAATACTTGCTTATTCTGGAGTTCAGCTCTAAAGCAATGTTTACAGTGTGGCTGAGATGAATAAATACAGAGCTATAAAAGTACTAATGTAAATGCTGCTCCATGTCCCCCTTCCCCGGTGCCGTTCTTATGACTAAAATCCTAGACATTCTAACATGCGATCTCTGCTGTACAAGAAGATAAGCCAGTTTAAACTCTGATCCTCCACTTCAGAGGAGGTGATCTGACCAAATGTCTAACCTTTTGGTCACATGACCAGCACAGAACGGGAGCCCGACTCAGAGGTGTTCTTGATGTTTACTCCGATAATTTCAATGCACGTATTAATTATTATTTCTTCGATTAAGACCTGCATCAACATATACATTTACTTGTCTGCTTTATATGTGCTTGTGATCCTAGGGACAATCAAACGAGGCAGATTCAAGAGACTGTTACCAATGTGGAGAAGCACTTTGGTGAGCTGTGCCAAATCTATGCCGGTTATGTGCGTAAAAACGCCAGATTGCGGGACAAGGCCGATCTCTTGGTGAGAGAAGTCCACGCATATGCGGACACCGAAACTCCAAACCTTAAACATGGGTTGAAGTGCTTTGCGGATGAACTTGCCAAACTTCAGGATTACCGGCAAGCAGAGGTAACGGAACCTTGCAGCTAGGACGGTCCATCTATAATGTTTCATCCAGTACAGGCTCACAGAATTTTTGTAATATTAAAGTTGGATGTGATCTGACATTGTCAGTGTGCAACTTGGGCTGGTTGCGCTCTTTTTGGTCGGCACTCAAAGTTACAGAGGCGGGGATTTTTACACAGGCTTGGAGCAGTGACATCTTTACATTACTGCTTTAAGATTGAATGTTTCAACCCCAATAGATTTCCTAGCTTTTATTATTTAAAGCAGAATTCTCTAACCTTTGCAGTGAGGCTACCCCTATGTGCCAGCTTAAGAGCCAGTGGGGATCGTAGTTCAGGTGAGTATAAAGCTGGCCATACACCTATAGATTATCTGCAGATGTTCTATGGTCAGATGGAAAAACTGCAACAGATTCCTCCATCTACGCTAAACTGTGTGGATGGAGGAATCTCCCGCTGGGCCAAGCTTCAGTATCTTGCTAGTCTGCTCCGCTGGCACTCAAAATACCTGACAGCCAGCAGTGCCGACTAGCAAGATACTGAAGCTTGGCCCAGCGGGAGATTCCTCCATCCACACAGTTTGGCGTAGATGGAGGAATCTGTTGCACTTTTTCCATAGAAAATCTGCAGATAATCTACAGGTGTATGGCCAGCTTTATACTCACCTGAACTACGATCCCCACTGGCTCTTAAGCTGGCCATTCACTATGCGAATTTTGACCAGGCCAAAGTGTGCACAGTGGGTGCTGCTGTCAGCTGCTTGAAGGAGCCATTTCGAAAATCTTTGAACAACCTCAGCCGGCAGTTAATGAGCTGCCGCCTCTATTCGGCTGTCGGCCGCTGTCAGAATAAAATAAATAAAGTGGGAGATATCTCGATCAATGCTCATAAGCTTGGATGGAGGAGTCTGTTCTTAGTTGAACCTCCAGCCCGTAGGTTAAACTAAGAAGATTTTACAGTGTATGGGCAGCTTTAGACCGGTCCCTTCAGTCTTGCTCCCGCAGTCTAAGGTCCTGTGAGTCATCAAGTTCTATGCAGTGTATAAACATGAGAACACCAAGGGACATTCCATTGCTGGAGTGGAGGAGCCAGCCGGGATTGCGGTTTCAGTGAGACTAACTTTATTTTAGCTCCCTACACAAATCAAGCCTTAACACTTGCAGTGCAGGGGTAGCCCCACTGCAAGGGTTAAGATTTGATTTGCCCGGTGTTCTGCTTTAAATCCCCTTCACGCCAGTCTGCTCACATGCACCCCAAAGTGCATGGGGTTACTGCAGGTCCTCTTAACATTTAGCCTGAGCAGTAAAAGAGTGCCAAATTAAAAAAATTCTGCCAGGGAGTTAGCAAGGTCGCAGTTTGCTGTTGACTAAAAAGTACATGTGAAATCCATATGATATCTGCCCATTATCATTAGGAGGTCATATCATTATTCTGTATACAGTATTCCTGGAGCAGTAGTAATTACAGCTTGTACCAGTAGATGGCACTGCAGGTTAATCTGGAGTGACGGCTTGAAAACCTATTTCCTGCAATATAAACTAGAATGTAAAATTCAACATGTTTCTAATTGCTTTTCTGTGAATAGATTTGGAAGATGATGACAAATATTATAATTGTGTTTTATGAATTATTTTTTTTCATGTGTTTTTAGGTTGAGAGACTGGAAGCCAAAGTGGTTGAACCTTTGAAAAACTATGGCTCCATCATTAAGCTTAAAAGGGTAGGTGTTATACTTGCCGGAGAATCAAGTCTAAGTATAGAGGGTTAAGATGAGCTAGGGAGGACTAGAGGCAGGATAGCACCCCTCTGCAAAAAGAAGGATCTCAGCCAGTTTGTCACTATAAACTGAAATAACATTAACACTGAAGTACTTCCTAATAGAAGCCAGTACTGAGAGAAGTAAATAAGCTGCTGACCTCTCTTTCTGAAAATGCTAGTTATCTGGCTAGCTGATTTAATGCCTTCTGAGGCACTGAAATGGAATTTTCATGTAGATAGGAGTTCAGACTTTAAGCCTGTCTCTAGGTCCAAAAAAAACAACTACCCAAGCACTGGTACTAGCCCCGCACTGCAAGAGTTAACTGCCTCTTTTTGTTTAGGGGTATGGTGAAGAGGACTTTTACTTACCTGGGCCCTGGTGGTCAGTGCTTACCTTTTTCTCCTTGGCTTCGGCCCATGGACTGTCCCTAGGTGTCGTCACTTGTAATGCGGGGTTATGGGCCCTGCCTTAGATGTGAAGCCATCAACAGGCCTCTGACCACTGAAGCAGAGAGGGGAAGAGGCTGTAGGTGCCGGCCTTGGAGCCAGAGAGAGTGGAGATCAGGTACGTAAAGTCCTTTACAAAAATATCCTAAAAACAAGCACCACTGCAAGGGTAGATTTTTATTTTTTTGAAACTGGATATATGTTTTAACTCTGACTTCCTAATGCACATGCTTAAACTGTGGCCCAATGATTGTGCAACTCAGAGACAGCCAGACGACTTATCATTTTTCAGAAGTCAGTCATCTATGGCAGCATCTATAAATCTCTTAGTACAGGTTTCCTTAAAAAAGAAAATTGTTTACCCCTAAGGCCCTAAAATAAATCAAATCCAAACTTAGCCCACACTCGGTTCTAGTGCTCTGGTTCCTACCATCATGAAAGGTAAAAATCTGGTAATTCTGGGTGTTCAGCGGGGGAAATAGCAGACTGACACTTTTTCTGCTCCAACAAGTGAACAATTTTAGTTTGATCCATACTCTGTCTCGACTCCCTCTGTACCTCCAATCTTGGGGCAAGCGCAGTTCGGATTTTCGGCCGGGAGACGAGGAGAGACGCAAGGTAAGTCTATGGACGCGTGCAGGAAGTACCAGCAAGGACAGAGGAGTCAGCGCTGGATCGGAGAGCCGCCGTCGCACCGCTGGAGGGACAGATGAAAACATCAGGAAAGAAGAAGAGACAGAGTCTGTTTAAACAGCCCCGATGCTGGCGACGTACACTGTACGTCGTCAGTCACGAAGGGGTTAAGGTAAGTGCGGACATTTACATTGGGGGGGAGGGAAAAACAATTTGACTTTAATGTCACTTTAAAGAACGAGATATATATAATATACATACACAGTGTATATTTTTAAACGCCATGAAGGTCATAAGATGTGACTGGTTCTCTTTAAAGTTGCTCCCCATTTCTTCCTCCCTTCACTGTTGTCTTGCTAAATCTTGCAGCTAACGGAGAAATGAAACATCCTCAGAAGTTCTCTTGTTTTTTTAGGAGGACCTTAAAGTGACCTTAAGTGCTCGGAATAGAGAAGCAAAGCAAATGGCTCAACTGGAGAAAACGCGCCAGAGAAATCCATCAGATCGGCAAATCATTGTATCCTTTAATAAGGACTAAATGACCTTTGGTATCAATACAATTGTGTGTTTGACCAGTTTTGCAAACATTGAATCATGTTTTATTTCAATTTTCTTCCTTAACCAATCACCAGTCACAGGTATAAACACTCTTGAAATGAACTGTCAGGAGCAGGCAGATTGGTAACATTATTATATTTACTACAGTTGTTGTCGTGATGTAGAGATAGAGCTTATCTGTTTATACGTCTGCTGAGGCTTAAAGTACAACTATTGTCAAGCGACACGTGATGCAATCTGTCAGTAGTAAGAACACAACATATATAGTTATGCGAGTCCCCCTGTAACATGGTTTTACTAGGTTTTGATCCTGCCAGTAGTTCTGCTGATTTTCAACTTTCTTCTGCAAGGTGACAACTTGGCTTGTTGTGCAGTTAAATCACTGCAGCGTTGTCACCTTGTGGGCACATCTGAACTTAAAAAAAACACAAACAAATTGCAAGCAGGCAGGCTTTTTAATGCCGAAAAGGCATCCACAGCTAAGTGTACTCACCATGCCTCTGTGCTGGAATAAATGGGTGTCATTCCCCCGCCTACCAAACACCTGACAACCGGAGGAAGTCGGGGGAGGGAGAAGATGTTGGAGAGGGGAGGTGAGTTATGTTTCATTTTATGTAATTGGCAAACAAGTTAAAGCCCAACTACAGCTTACACATTTAATGCGGTTACCACAAAGGAAAACTCTATTAAATAAAAAAGTAAAGTACCCCCGACTGTGTTACTTGGTTTGTCCTTACACCTGTAACTGTCCCTACTGCTGGACAGCTTGGCCTACTTGTGGAAAGATGATATAAATAAAGACATGTGAAGTGAAAAATTACATCAGTTCATATACCAAATTCTACCACATACAGTTACCAGAACACAATCATTTTCCCAATCCTGGGCTTCTAAAGAAGGCGGCATTGAGAGAAACATGAGAGCTGCCATTGCTAACCTCGTGAGTATACTAGTTGTCTGGATGTCTCTGCTTGTCAGATTTATTGGCCTGAAAGAAGCATGCAGATCTGGAAAGAGAAGTCAACATTTTCAATCAAAATATTTTGGTCACCACAAGCAATGGCATCCTTCATATTCTTTCAGTACATGTTTCCTATACATTTGTGTAAAAACGTGTGCTCACATTCACTATTATGGTGCACATCTATTGCCTGCATGACTTTAGCCTTTCATCCAGCTATTACATGCTTTACCAGGGCAATGGAGGCCTATTGTAATATGGTTCTATGCCTCAGCACTGTGAAAATAGATGACAACGTTGGCCTAGGCAAAAGAGCAGCCAAAGAAAGCCTAATGAAGTGCTATATCATTCCCAACTGACTTGTCTTGCACCGTTTGAATGATATGGTTGCCTGAGACTGGGTCCGCTTTAAAGCTGAACTTCAGGCAAATATAAAATACACAGCTTAATGCAGTTCTGTACACTGCTTGCATTTAAAAACTGTAAATATTAAATACCTGAATTTGTATGAGTTTCCTGCATCTGTCTATACAGCAGAGCTTAGAGAGGGGGAAGGAGAAGTAGCACAAGGAGCCAGTCTGGTGTGCTACAATGCAAGGAGCATGCTGATAAAGAGGAGGAAGCCAAGTGACGGATGAACTCATCAGTGTGCTGCTTCTCCTTTTACAGTCCAGTCACAGGGTTGAGAAGGGGGACCTGTAACTGAAAGTGAAACTGCAGCAGAGAAAGATCAGGTCACATGACCTGTGTGTCTGGAGATCAGCTTTAAGCAGAGAGTGAGAACTTGCCAGAGTGAATAAAAAGATCCCTCTAATAGCCAATCTGCAAATCTTTATATTCGGGGCAATAACAAATGTATGAAAGAGGAAGCATAATAAATTAAGTCGCTGTGCTTGCCAACCTATACTTTTAGGAATGTCACGGTTTTCTTTTTTATTGAATGAAAGGCTGAAACAGAGCTACAGAGAGCCACCATGGATGCTGCACGAATCAGCCGCCAGCTTGAGGAAACAATTGACAACTTTGAAAAGCAGAAAATTAAAGACATAAAGGCAAGTTAATTGTTTTATTTTCCTATTGAGCTTTGACCAAATAGATAAAGTCAATCAGAGAATCAATAAAGATTACCATGACCAGGAAACGGAAATGCTGGGGATTTTCCAGTATTTGCATATTATGGAAATGCTTGGAAAGACTGAAGCTGAAAGTGTTATTTTCCTTTAACAAGCTCGTTTAACGTAAAAAAATAAAGATTCAGACTTGCCATGTGGAGGTAGGGGGTTAGGGTCATAATATGCAGCCATCTTTTTATATCGTTATAACAGAAGAGTCCGTAGCTTTATGTGGTGTAGAACCAACTTGCTAGGACTGGTCGTGTTACATTAATTCTCACAAAACCTTTTAAAAGCAGGTTTGTCTGACTGGGGTTGGTTAGCAAGTTGGTTGCGGGCTATGCATAGCCCTTGGCTTTTCTTTCTTTAGAATGTTCATAACATTGACATTATGATGTCACTGGCCACCCATAGTGGTGTTGCCAGAGTAATGTATGTAGGAAGCACTCCAGAGAGGGAAGGCAGGAATTTCAGCAGACTCTCGGCTATAATGATATAGCCAATGGAAAGGGACCATCCCGCCGCTAGTGTTACAGGCAAAAATAAAGACGCGGTGAGGAGCTGTAACCTTCCTCCGATTAAAGATATAAATCCAGCCTGATGAAGGCCCTTCTTCCCTGTCTTCTTCTTTGAGTAAGCTGCCACCCTGTACCATCTGAACTACTTGAAGTCCGCGGTGTTAAGCCCCCTTCCTGCCCAGGCCATTTTTAAGTATTCAGCGCTGCGATACTTTGACATTTATTCCGTCATGCAATGCTGTACTCAAATTATTTTTATACCATTGTTTGGGGACACACAGCGCTTTCTTTTGGTGGTATTAATCACCACTGGGGTTTTTATTTTTTATTAGATAAATAAATAATTTAAACTTAACATTACTTAACATTGATTTCTTTTTTTTATGTGTGACTTTAGTTTACACTTAACTTTATTGGTATCACATAGGGGGTTTAATAGCCCCCTATGTGATATCAAATTACAGCGGCACCTAGGGACCCCCAAAGAAGCTGATAAAGCACAGATCTGCTTCACCAGCTTCTCTCGGCTTCCGTAGCCAGAGAATGACAGCTGACTGCGGAAGAGATGTAATAAACATTACTTCCGCATTCACAACACCGGAGGGAGATCGTGTACTGATCTGCCTCCGATCTCCCTGCACAGAGCTGCCAGGTCCACGCGGGGCACAGTAGAGCCCGGGATTGGAGGGGGGGAAGAGGCAGGAAATGGCAAAACATACAAGCGATTGAGCAGCTCTGTAGCCGCTTGAAAGGCATGTATGTAAACAGCCATCACCGGCTGTTTGAAATTTTTATATTTTCCTGCCTGCGGCCACAAGAATGTTTGTTTTAAAACGCCCACCCGCATCTAGGAAGCTGCCGTCCGGCCGTTTGTATACAGCTTCTGGAGGGGAAGTGGTTAAATATGTAGTGCCTGACACAGTATGTGCCCCATACAGGCTAGGCTGTGCTAAGTACATTCAAAGAATAATAATAAAATTGCGACCACTGATTCAGGGCAGTAATAATATCATGTCTGATATATATAAATCACACACTATAACATTCTTGAAGGTAAATTAAAATGTTATACAGTATGTATATAAAATGTTATTAACACCGTGGGATGGATATCTATTTTTGTACTTTTATAAGAATTTTATATTGAAGACATTTTGATACTATTGTCACATACCTTTTTTTTTTCCTTGTGTATTGTACATGATCTTCCATTAAAAGCTACCAATGTTTGTGGCACAATGTATGCCTATTGCATGACTGCAGTTTTGTTATTCAATTATCCTTTAAACATGATTCTCCCAAAAACACTAAAGTACACAGTTTGTTTTGAATGTATGTATAAAAATTTACCCTTCAAACTATAACATTGTCTTTATCCTCTCTATATAGAAAATATTTAGTGAATTTGTTACAGTCGAAATGGTGTTCCATGCAAAAGCTGTGGAAGTCCTGACTGCTGCCTTTCATCATATTGAAGATATTGATGAGGAGGAGGATTTAGAGGTAAAAAATATATCTTATATTTGTTCTATAGTGATGGTACAATCTTGCAGTAGAATAAATTTATATTTAGAGCTGTTCTGTTCTGATATTGGGCTTTTTTTATATGAATTGTTTTTACCCAATTCATCTCCCAGGACAGCACGGATTAGGCTCTTGTGCTGTCCTGGAAGATTCATGATGAAGACATTACCAGGTGCCTAGCGTTTGTTTTCTTGTCTATTTGTTTAGGTTTTCAGAAGTTCTCTGCACCCACCAGATTATCAGTCTCGACTTGACATTGTACGTGCCAATTCAAGAACAGGATCCATGAGGCAAACATCCTCTTCTTTATCGGTGAGGTTTGGGGGCTTTATGTGGAATAGGAGTAATATGTAAATGTACTGCAGTGATTTGTTCTGCTATGTCTGATTGCTGTCACTCTTACATGTGTATGATGTAGTTCTTTGAATATGTTACACAAGTGATAGAGATAGCTGGACAATATATTGTTTATAGTCCGTCTGAGCCATTGATGATAGCGCTGTTTTCCTCTATGGTGTCCCTAGTCAATAAATCTGTGCCGTTGACAACATCTGACAGATTTCACACACAAGATGTAAAGGCAAGTTGTCTGGATAGATGTATAGGCAGGGCTTGAAAAATTTTAGGGTGTCTCACCAGCCAGTCAAAATGTCGCCAGCATGACCGGACTATAGCCTTGCAATTTATGTCAACATTTTTTAGGGACACATAGAGCTTTCTTTTGGAGGTATACTATATAATCACCTCTGGGGGGTTTTTATTTTTTATTATATAATGAAAAAAGTACCGTAAATTTCGGAAACATTTTTTTTCCTATGTTATGGTAAACATTTTATTCTTACCCATATTTTTGATAAAATATAAAAGACAGGGTCACGTCGGGTAAATAGATGCCAAACATGTCAACCCTTAAAATTGCACGCGCCCGCAAAATCGCAAAAAATGACCATGCCGAAAATTGCCCATAGGAGACGCTTTTATTGCTCATCAGTTTAGTGTTATCAGTGATTAATTGCCCTAAAATTTATTGCTCACACTCCGACGTTCGCGGCGATATGTAACGTGTGGCACAATAGGTGCAATCGTCATTTATGCTTCTTTAATTTTATCACTTTAAAAAAAAAAAATTACACTTGATTGCTATCACATTGCTGTGAACCAGTGTTACTTCAACCCAGCACAAAATTGTGTGGGGACTATACACTGAAGGGAATACACCGCACAGGGGTCACTAATATAAAAATAAGGATCTGTGACAGAGACAACATTGTCTCTCGGGTCATTAAAAAAAAACTGCCTATTAACACTTTAAAAAAAAAAATCTTCCACTTTATTAAACCCCAGACATGGTTTTTGAACAACATACCAAAAGTTCTAGTTTCCTGAATAAAATATCTATTTGTTTTTTGCATTGAATTGCAGCAGTCTTCAGTGAGCAGACACAAAAAGGAAGAGGAGGATGATGACCTGGATGAGGATGAAGAGTCAACCGAAGAGGAAAACGGACATTAAGAATCCATGCAGTTTTTCTGACCCGCTCTTTCTAAGGAGTGGGGGAGAGATATGTGGCTTGTAGAAGCATAAAATGACACAATGAGATCATATCTTCATATCTACCATACAGATTATCTGAGATAATGGCTACGATACAAACAAGACCTTCTGCGTCAGCAGAAAATCACGTTCTGTTTATGCAGTGGTGTAAAGATATAACAGATATGTGATCTCTAAAGCATTGGTTTATACTTCTTTTGATTGCTAACTTCCTGGACTTTCTGACGAAACGCATTCCACTCTGCTTTAAACACGATCTTTGGGTTGATTGTCCAGAGTAGTGCAGCTTGGAAAGGATATACTCACTGCTGTGTGTTATTTTTTTCTTAAGAATGGGGGAGGATGTGTAGACTTTGGGATATTGAAGTCTACACATCCTCTACACATCTACACATCCTCACCTTGAAGGGATATTGAAATTGTAAATAAAACCCCCATGCCACCTCCCTTATGAAAACTGTAAATAAAATTATAGACCTCAGAGGCACAACTTTGAATCTTTAGTTTCTTGGTCCTGAGCAGTGTTCATAGGTTTCTGTGCCCAGTTCTACTGCAGCTTGTAGTCCAGCCAGTGCAGATACATCAGGCTTGATCAGATAGAATAATGGATGTGTTAAGATTGTTATAGACTGACTGTTATTCTTCATGCTCAGGCCCAACTCATGCACATTGGCTGGAAGACAGGCAGCAGAAGAACACGGTGCTACCAGATTGAAAGCCAAAGCAGTGATATATGCCACATATGAGATGTGTAGTTTAATTTACAGTTTACATCAAGAGAGTGAGGGGGGTGTAATTGGGCACTTTAAATATAACTACCCGTTCAGTTCTACTTGTTAGTCTGCATCTAAATGTACGTAGGCTACATTTATTTCTGGTTTAAAATTATCTTACTGTGCCTTATAATCTTATACCTCAGTGTTATGGTTCCACAAGTGAGTTAAGTATTGTCCATATACATTTTCTTTGCCAAAACATAGAAAGGGATGTGAGCACTAATGGCCTACTTCCATGTCCTATAAGATCCATACAGACAATAACGGTGGGCCTTCCACTTCTGCATGCCAGAGAATGGAAACTAATATGTGGCTGGTTTCAGTTTCCATGCAAGTCCTGAAAACTTTCTGTAAGGCCCTTTTTGTTCACTGGTGTATGCCTGTTTCTGATTGATGCATTGAATAAACTACCTGTGCTCTGAGATGATCTATAAAATGTTCTCTTGTCCTGAATGCAATTGTAAATTGGGACCAAATATCCTTCTCTGTTGAAGTAGAATACTAGATTAAAGAGATTCCTAAGTCAGGGTAAGGACCATGGATGAGTCTGTCATTTTTCCAGCGATAGAATCCCTAAAATCCATCTTGATAATCATTCCTGGAAGCAGATCTTTCTCTACCTGAGATGATGCTAAAACTCGGACACTAGCAAGGGTGCGGTGAGAGGGCAACAAAATGCCAGTGTATGTAGAATAGTGTCAGGGCTAGTTCACGCCTGTGTTCCGGTGCAGTCAGAAAAAATGCTGTGTGCACTATTTTTTTCTCACCGCACAAGACCGGAATGCAGGCATTGATGTGCTACACGTTCCGGTGCGGGCGATCGCACTGCGGCTTGGGGGGAGCGTGGCTACGATGCCATTGACTTCAATGCACTGCCATGCCCCCTCCTGTTCCAGATCACATTGAGCCGGTCGGGAATGCAATCCAGTATGTTTCGGGCCGGAACGCACTGGGGCTGCTGTGAACTAGCCCTACGTAGGATTTTAGGGAATCTGTCACTGGATTATCCATGTTACCTGGTCTGAAAGTTTTAAATTGCACATTACACACAACTTCCAAGCTGTAAAAGTGTGCCAGCTCGCCAACCTGACACACAGAGTTCTGGATTGGTGGCACAGAAGTAAATGGAACGCACATTGCTGCACTTGCCTGACCCTGATCCATGCTGGAGTTTTTCTTTTAAAAGATTTATTATTTTACTAGAGCTTGATTCTAACAATGATGAAGGCAGACATGTTTTTTAAGCGAGAAGTTGAGCACTGTCCCAATTCTGTACACCTGTAACCGTGGCAGCACTAGGAGACTGAGTTGGAGAAGAGTTAGTTGTGTTTGATGTTCTCCTAAAAACGTGGGGGGAAAAGAGCGTGGGAGTGATGCCTCAGTTTAGCTTTTGTTTTACCTTCCACTTTTTACTTTGGCGCTCTGTCCTTGTTCCGAGTGGCTACTTTGGATACCACCTAACCTCCAAATGTGTCCTTGGTCATATGCATACAGCCTGGAATAGGATTTAAGAGAGCAATAAAAACCTGACATAAGTTCTAACCTTTTTCTGCTCTTTCCAAATCTAGGAGTTGGGCTTTAGATGTGTTCAGAACTTAAATGGTTCAGTAGCATTAGGGAGCTATAATTAAATGAATGCTGATATTCCATTTTCTATCTATCTATCAATCTTCCTTTGTGAATGGTGTACAGAAAGACAAAACAAAGAAGAGGTGGAATAGAAAAAGTCAGTATCAGAATATGCTCTCATTGCAAATATAGGACAGGGGTTATCTAAATCGTCATATCAGGTTCAGGAACCTATAAAAATATACTGTCTGCCGTCTATAGTCTGACTGTAAAATATTAAACCACCATATAAATATTGTTCCAACAACTAAGCTTTGGCATTATTACAAGTCTAAGTCCACCAGCCAGATTCTCCATGGGTATAAAGAAACCGTTTCAGCTTTGTCTGAGGACCATATCAAACATAGTGGAAAGACCCTTATCGACCACTGCCCCATTCCACCCAAAAAGGAGTAGTCTGTGTTGGGTGTTGTTGTGCTTTACTATTTTATTTCAACTGGCCTTTTCTTTGTCATTTATTTTGTTACTTATTATAGTAATTTTGTGTACGGTATGTTATATTTGGCATGTATTCTATGAAAACGTATATATTTGTGTTTGGTTTTTTTTTCTTTCTTTCACTGTGGCTATGTATTTTCTTTCACTGTGGATATGTATTATCTGAAAATGACACTAATTAAATATTTGCTACAATTCTCCCTTCTATTGTGGTTTATATGTTTATCTTTCCTTTCAACAATGCAATTCTTTCTTTTTTTTTATACAGTAACAATGTTAGTTTATAGAAAATCATTGCTCTGTTTCTCCGGCTGTATCCATGCTGCAAAGATCCCGCAGGTACAGGCCCAACGGTGCGATTTCACCTTCAATCACTCTGGTCTGTAAAACAGCCGCACTCCACAGGTCTTGAAATATAAATCCAAACTTTATTGTAATCCACAAATATGTATACACCACGATCCTGCTCCACAGTACAAACGGAACCCACTAACGTGTTTCACCAATAGGGCATAAAGGAGAACTATGAGGTAAGTGATATTCACTCATCCTCATAGTTAGAGCTGATGCGTGACATTGAAACTTTCACACGTCTGCTCTATAGTTCGGGAAGTGAGCGGACACATACTGTCACTCATTCACTTTCTGATCATCTCCCTGCAGAGAGCGGTGACTATCAGTCACCGCTCTCCACAGGGATTCCCGCTCCGATCCTCCAGCGCAGACTGGCGGAACGGAGGGGGCGGGGACAGCTGGCTCTGCCTCTAGATAGGCAGAGCCTGTTGTCAATCAGCTAGCGGGGGTGCATCTCGACAGTATTGTCAGGATCCGTCCCGGCTCTGGCGCTCTCGGTATATAGCGAGCTGTAGCTCACTATATACTAAACTTTGGATCATGAGAGGATGTTTGTATATGTCCTCCCGTGACCCTTAAGAGAACTATGGGATACAAAGGTTACCCAATAGTTTTCTTTTAATCATAAAGGTACTATCGGTGAAACACGTTAGAAGGTTCCATTTGTACTAGGGAGCACAATCGTGCTGTATACATATTTGTAGATTACAATAAAGTTTGGATTTACATTTCAAGACCTGTGGAGTGCGGCTGTTTTACAGGCCAGAACAGCGTTGGTTTACCTGAGGCTCTGCCACCTTAGAACTGAACTTTAGTCCATAAAGAATGCATAAAAAAACAAACCTGAACTTTAGTCAAAAATAAAATATAAACTACGGCTGCATACAAAACTATCATGGGCCGGGCATTTCCCTCAGTATCAGGGACCTGAGCCAATGTGAGAGAGTCTGGTTCTTGCAGCAGCCTTGGTCTTATACCTACACCTTTCCCTAATAGTGGCCGGGACTGAATTTTACACACGATGACCCAGTGGCTCCGCTCCCTATCCCTCTCTACCTTCTGTTTCCCTCTACTTCTCCATCCTTTTTAACCTCATGGATCAAGCTTCGCATCCTCGCTCCTTGCCAAGGGGTGCTGCCCCATGGTTTCAAACCTCCCATTCATATGGTTACACTTGCATATGCCTTTACCGGACCTCATAAGTAGTCAAGCCTAATAGCAACACAAGTTATACACTCGTATGTTGTCCTATGGCGATATGTCGCTCTTCAGTACCATTATTATTCACCGTTCTTGTCTCCTGTTGCCTAATACTTCAACGAAAAATATTTGAAGCAAAATCTACTTATCTATCATCTATCTATTCTTATCTATCTAATCTATCTCACTTTACCCTTTTGCAGTAAGCACAGCTTTACACATGCAGAGTTCTTTTTATGCCCAAACATCAGAAGAATGTTAAGAATGAGAAGGTCTCAGGTCATCGGGGCAGAGAGAAGTTATCACAAGAACCTAGTCTGCTGAAGTCATTCAGTAGTTTTGGACAGTGCTAGGGGTCAAAAACTGGGGGCATTACAGGTAAGACACGGAGGGGCCTAACAACAGACACAAAGCAAGGGCAGTGCTAGAGAGGAGCAGCAGTGAAGATGATTATTTCCGGACTTTTATATCCTGTCACTCAGACGTATAAAAGCAGACACAGCCAGGCCACTAGCTTTCTCAGTAGCAGGTCAGCAATGACGACTAAAGGTGGCCATACACTCTACAACCATCGCAAGACTTTAGTCTTGCGAT